TCCAAAATTGAAATTTAAAAACCCCCCCCCCCCCATTAAATTAATACAAAAAATATTATTATAAATGTCAATGTTTAGGTTAAAAATATATTTTAATTGATTAATATTGAATTGACTGATAATAATAATACTTATTTTATCATTAGATTGTGAAGATAAATAATACAAATATAATTATAACATTTTGCAAACATTAATATTGATAATAATAATAATTAACATTATTATTTTCTTGATTGGATACAGATTTTTTTTGTGTTCATCAGATTTGTTCTGTGTTCATATATATATATATATATATATATATATATATACTAAATAAATAAAACAATGACATTTGCTACTAAGCCTGCAAATCAAACAGAAGCATTAGGTGATGATGTGTGCGGTCAGACACTCACACACAAAACCTCTGAGGACAAAAAAAACGAAGCTTTTTCACATAAAAGCTCATTAGCAGAGAAACTGTGGTGTTTTGCGGAAGTGGATGATTATTGTGGAGTTGAAATGGTCAGGACTGAAGTTACGGGAGCTCTAATGCGCTCCTAATTAGAGAATGCAGTCACTTGAGACCAGAGCTGTGTCCATAAAACATCTCTCTCTCCGAGAAACATTACTATGTGTTTATGAACAGACATCAGGGCGAATAGATGCTGTAAAATGTGAATACATTTAGAGGAATCATCACTAGAGTAAACGGTCATCGTTGCCAAGTAGATTTGAAATGTTAATGTAAAAACTAAAACTGTGGAAAACTACACTCTAAAAAATGCTGGTTTGTTTCAACCCAATGTTGGGTCAAATATGGACTAACCCAACTGTTGGGTTAAATTTTGGTTACATTTTTAACCCAACAGTTGGGTTAGTCCATATTTGACCCAAAGTTGGGTTGAAAAACCCAGCATTTTTTAGAGTGTAGTCTTAACTTTCTAGACTTGATGGGATATGGGATAAAATAAAAAAAGAAATATAAAGAAATAAATGTAAAGTTTTGCGATATAAAGTCGGAATTGGGATATAAACTTGCAAATCTGAGTTACATTTTTAACCCAACAGTTGGGTTAGTCCATATTTGACCCAAAGTTGGGTTGAAAAACCCAGCATTTTTTAGAGTGTAGTCTTAACTTTCTAGACTTGATGGGATATGGGATAAAATAAAAAAATAAATATAAAGAAATAAATGTAAAGTTTTGCGATATAAAGTCGGAATTGGGATATAAACTTGCAAATCTGAGAAAAAAAATGTCTGAATTGCGAGATATAAATTCAGAATTGTGAAAAAAATGTCTGAACTGTGATACAAAAAGTCACAATTGCCTTTTTAAAAAAATGTTTTACCCTGTGGCGGAAACAAGCTTTGATCGTTTTTCACACATTTCAATTTTTGTAAAATGCATGAGGACTTGGAAACCTGTTTGAAAACAATCCCCTTTGAGTTTCACAGTTTGGAATGTTTTATTCTTTTTAAATAAGTCTCTGATGCTCACCAAGGCTACATTTATTTGATGGAAAACACTATAAAAACAGTAATAATTGGAAATATTATTACAATTTAAAATAACTGTTTTCTATTATAACATATTTTAAAACTTAATTTATTCCTGTGACGCAAAGCTGAATTTTAAGCAGCCATTACTCCAGTCTTCAATGTCAAACGATCCTTCAAGTTTAAAAAAATCTTAATTATTCCAAACTTTTGGGGAAAAAATAAAAAAATGTGTATGTGAAAAAAAAAGTTTAGTGGTGCAAAAATTATACACTTCACATTCAAGACTCTCATACTCAAGTCAAGGATGGTAAAAGTGGATCAAATAAACAGTGAACTCAAATAATCACATGGTGCTTAATAGCTCAAACCAAATTTCATGAAATTAAAAAAATAAAATAAATAAATAGTGAATGCACAAAGAGTTCTAGCAGGTGTGAGGTATGTGATGAGTTTATTCTCTTAGCTCAAAGAACTGACCCATAGCAATGTCTCGCATGCAGTTTAACTCACAGACTACAAGCATGATGCATATAAAAGCTAAGGATTTATGTTTTATGCTATTTTGATATTCATCTCATTTAAATTCATAATATACCTAGAATTAATTTTCTCAATACATGTCACATTCACATGGAGCAGTTACACTTACGACTGTGTTTATGTGGAACATACGAGTCTCTGACATGAAACGAAATGAAACTATAAAAATGTAAACAAATACACACTATCCCATCAGTCTTCAATCATCATGAAGACGCAAGTCAAACAACCTGTTGCCTAACATTAATAACAGAAATATACAGAACTACAATCTTCATATAGGTGAAATATGCAGTAAACGAAAGTGGTGCATTTATATTCCTCAATGTTATTTATACAAAAAAAAATGCATAATACAAATAAAAATGGCCACATTTCACAATAACATTTTAGCTTCAACATAATCAAAATGATTATATTTCCCATATAACTTCAGCATAATTTAGTATTTTAGCTTTTATGATGCATAACCTTTTACTTAAACCTTTCACATTCCCTATATAGATTATAATCCATAATTTCTGCATTATAGAAATTCTATAACAGATGGCATATTCCTACAAAATATTTACACATATGAAGAACCATTTTTTGAGAGAAATCTTTAAAAATGCAAAGACGTGGATGCTGAAAGATTAAGTTTTGGCTTAAGCCACGGTCTAGAACAGCTACCTTACCAAATCTGTGTTCATATACAAAAATTAATTTGCAACTACTGATGTATCCCGCTACGATGCAGAAGTGAAGATGATGGGAACAGATCTCTAAACGCATCACTAATGGAATAGTTCACCCAAAAATGAAAATGTAGCATTACATCACTTGCTCACCAATGGATCCTCTGCAGTGAATGGGTGCCGTCAGAATGAGAGTCCAAACAGCTGATAAAAACATCACAATAATCCACAAGAAATCCACACCACTCCAGTCCATCAGTTAATGTCTTGTGAAGAGAAACCATTTTGGACAGTTTGAACTTGTAAACGGTGCTTGATTTGTGCATATTTCTCTCCTGATTCAGATGAGATGATTTTTTTCACTGGAAAGCAATATTATAGATAGAGGACTCGTATTTTAGCTGGACGGCACCCATTCACTGCAGAGGATCCATTGGTGAGCAAGTGATGCCATGCTACATTTCTCCAAATCTGTTCTGATGAAGAAACAAACTCATCTACATCTTGGATGGCCTGGGGGTGAATACATTTTCAGCAAATTCTCATTTTTGGGTGAACTATTCCTTTAAAGCTGTTTCAAGTGCAATATCAGTGAGGCAGCTACAGGAAAGGCTGAAATCCGACAGGTTTCACAGTTCAGGATGTGACGTAAGTCTTGAGGTTTTAAGGAAAGAGTTTGCTGCAAGCTCTCGAGAAGGGAAGGCACGTGTGCGAATGGCTTTCTAGCATGTTGAAGAGAGACCTGAGAGGCACTGAGCCATTCTGAAATACTGAGTGGGAAACTTGTATGACTACAGGTGAGCTGTCATGCAACTATAATTACACGTGTATTGACGACAACAGAATGCAACAGTGGTCGGCAGCAGTCAATAGAAGAAGAAAAAAATACATCAACTCTGTCTTAAGCAACATAGGAAAAAGCAACCTCACAATAAACCACGCTAACTTAAAAACAAAAACAAACATGAGGGAACGTACAATTCTCTCAACAAACACAAACTGTTGATGAATAAATGACATTTTAAAAGGAAGTGTGTAATTTCTGCAGCAACTGAAGCACCAAACATTCCTGTTCAATTTTAGTGGAAATTGCAATAATTCCTGACGTCTCGACAATAACATCACAAGAACACGCACAGTCCCATATCCTTCACTAGTGATAGATGGAGAAAGATGCTTCTTGCTCCCATAATGGTGTATTTACAGAATCTATCATCAGGGGTAAACTAGTGAAGCTAACTAGACAAACTTTGAACCACTCACCACAACCAATTTCCTGTTTATTACAGAATTCCTGTTATATATATAGCATAAAAAAGGTGTGTGTATATATATATATATATATATATAATACTATCAGTTCAAAAGTTTGAGGTTTTGAGTCTCTTATATAGTGTAAGAGTATAAGTCTCTTATATTCTGCTATTATTTGATCAAAAATACAGTAAAAACAGTGATAATGTGAAATATTATTACAATTTAAAATAACTATTTCCTTTTGTAATATATTTTAAAATGTAATTTATTCCTGCGATGCAAAACTGAATTTTCAGCGCCATTACTCCAGTCTTCAGTGTCACATGACCCTTCAGAAATCATTCTAATATGCGGATTTGGAGCCGTTTCATACTAACATTATTTATTATTAATGTTGAAAACAGTTGTGCTACTTAATATTTTTGTTGAAACCACGATGCATTGTTTTTCAGGATTCTTTGATGAACAGAAAGTTCAAGAGAACAGGATTTAGGTGCAATAGTAACTTTTTGTAATGTTAAGAATTGCGCCTTTATGACCACTTTTCATCAATTTATTGGTGTCCTTGCTGAATTTTGCAAAGAGAGAAATTGCTTAAGCAGTTGTTTTGCCTTAAAGGTTCGATTGCCGCTAGTAGCACAAAAATCACACACTTCGCCTATAAATGCAAGACACTGGATGCAGCTCCGACACACAAATACACTGAACAACACACAAAGAAAACGCATCAGATCACAACACAATTACACTTGGTCCATCGCCATTTTCGCCAGCGAGTGAAACGGGTTAACCATAGCAGCTTCACTGCCTAACTCATGTTAATCACAGCTCCAGAATAGGCACAAAGTTCAAGTATGCTCAGGCAGTATGGCATAGACATCCACATCAAACAGACAAGGTCACCTGACCCTGACAAATAACTTGAAGTAAAGTTGTAAACAATTGTTCGTAATGCTACTCTAAACTCCGTTACATTTGTCTTCCACTTCTTTCTCATGTTTGTCCTTCTCGTATTTGTTTGTGGTGTTCTGCGACAGGCTAGGAGAGGACATGGCGGACGTTGCGCCAGAGTCTTCTGAAGCGCCACTATCATTGCACTTGTCATTGTCAACAGACTCTTTACTCGGGACCTTGCCGTTTTGCTGCTTGATCCCTCTGTAGACATTACGGACCTTCTTCACACTATGTCGGATCAAGTGCTTCCTGAAGGCTCTCTGGATGATTGCAGCAGACATATCTTCATGCTTCCTACGCAGGGTTGTGGTGATGGGCTCATAAGAGGACTTTGAGGGGTTGGAGGCCATGAATCGTTCTTCCATTTGTCCGCGAAGGATGTCCATCTCGCCGCCTTCCCCAAGAACCCGTTTGGTGAAAGCGAACAAGATATCCAGACAGTGGATGCGTTCGCCGCTCACCATCGGCAGATCCATGGAGATCAGCTGCAGTCGGTTGGGCTTGGGTATTCGCAGAGGCGGATCCAGAGAATTGGCGAAGTCCGACAACTTGTCGTACTCCATGAACTGCGTGGCGTTCGGGTCAAACTTCTCCCAAACCTCATAAAACCTATCGAAGTCGTCTTCGCTCAAAGGCTCGGCGCTCTCTTCGGTGGCCACGCTGAAGTTCTCCAGGATGACAGCGATGTACATGTTCACCACGATCAGGAAGCATATGATGATATAGCTGACGAAGAAGAAAATCCCGATGGATGGGTTCCCGCAGTCGCCTATAACCTTGCTGCCGGGGAAGGTTTTATTGGGGTTGCAGTCGGGATATTCGCTATTTAACATGGGCGCCAGAAGGCCGTCCCAGCCTCCCGAGGTGGTGATCTGAAACAAACACAACATGCTGTTGCCAAACGTCTCGAAGTTGAACATGTCATCGATGCCGCCCGATTTTTTGACGTAGGCGAAGTTGGACATGCCGAAGATGGCGTAGATGAACATGACAAGGAAGAGAAGAAGTCCAATGTTGAAAAGGGCAGGAAGTGACATCATCAACGCAAACAGAAGGGTCCGTATTCCCTTGGCGCCTCGGATAAGACGTAGTACGCGGCCGATCCGGGCGAGGCGAATGACGCGAAACAAGGTGGGCGAGACAAAGTACTTCTTAATGACTTCTGCCAGGAACATGCCTGCAACGACAAGAGTTGAAAACGAATGTTGAAAGAGGAGGATATAGTGATTTTTGTGATCAAAATGACTGATTTTGTGGTGGTAATTTCTGACACACTTTTAAACAAGATATTTTAGTTGTTAAAAATAGGAAAAAATGACTAGATATACAATAGTCATAAATAAAGGGAAAAAATACAGAAGGATTGTTTATTTGTGTCTTGCCTAATTCTGACACTTAACTTTTAAACGAGATAGTTATTTTTGTTAAAAATAAGAAGTAGCAAGTAGGGGTTGCACAGACAGTTAAGCTTATCGCTTGTGGAGATAAGAAATCTCCACAAGACATGTGTCATTATACCATCTGAATGCTCGAAATTGAACGGCAGAATGCATGTTTTAAACAGCTTATTGTACAGGTAAGTTAATCACTGTTCTAATCTAATGCGCTGCTGCATTGTAACACATACAGACAGTAGCTCGTACATCACGCGCGGCTCGCGCACACACAATCATTCAGTAGCATGGAAATGTATTGTCAACACTGTTCTGTGATTTCTCAATAAAATAGCTTAGAAACTGAAAAGTTGTAGCATACATTTCTTAGTAACTAAAACTCACAGCTTCACTATTAGTAGAGAGACGCTGCCACTCTCACTAATGCATTTATATAAATGCAGTCTTTATAATTTATCTATATCTGATATATAGAGAAATATAACAAGCTAAAGACAAAAGAACTGATAAAAATGAGCTGTTATAGGAGCAGTAGCCGTGTACAAAGCAAATGTAAAATAAGAATTTACTATAAATATACTGATCCTTAAAGTTAGTCAGTCAACTAAAGTAAAAGCTACAAAGCCTATTGAGTCAAGAGCAGTGACTGATTTTCTTTTTTCTTTAGATTTTAGATTATGATTAAGTGCGTAGACGGCAGCAGGTTTATTAGGCTGCTGTCACTTTAAGACCTAATGCATGATAAATGGGACTGATAAATCAATTGCTTAGTAAAGGGTCAATTCAGATCTTACCAACTATAGACAGGATGACCACGATGAAGTCGAATACGTTCCAGCCGACCGTGAAGAAGTACTGCCGTAGCGCAAACATCTTTAGCACACATTCACTGGTGAAGAGCACAATGAAGGCAACATTGATCCAGTACAGCACGTTGCTCATTTCCGGTGACTGATCTTCTGTCTCCACCATCATAGTGACCATGTTGAGCCAGATAAGGACCATAATGAAAATGTCAAAGGCCTGTTTGGTTACGAGGTCAAAGATGAATCCTTGAATCTTGTTCTGAAATAAATGAGAAGGTAAGAGACATTGGGTTTTTCAGAAGACATTTACTGTACACTCTCAGAAATAAAGGTACAGAAGCTGTCACTGGGGCGGTACCTTTTCAAAAGGTACACTTTTGTACCTTTTAGGTACTAATATGGACTGTTTAGGTACAAAGGTTTGACTTTTGAAAAGGTACCACCCCAGTGACAACTTTTGTACCTTTTTTTCCGAGTGTACAAAAAAGAAAAGATGGGTTAAAGGGATAGTTCACCCAAAAGTTATTCCAACCCCTTTTTGTTTTATACCTTCTGTGAACAGAATTTTAAGCAGAATGTTTGAGCTTCTGTATTTCATACAACAAAAGATCTTAAATCAGTCATAAGAGCATAAATAAGAGCAGTCTATACATATAGAAAAATCACCATACATTTTAGTTGTATGGTAAAAGAGCAGCTTGGACATTCTGCCTAATTTTGCATTTCATAGAAAAAAAGAAAAGTTCATGATGATAAAAATGTAAGCAATTTTTTTTTTTAAGTTATGCTTACTTTTGGCCTTGGAATGGGTTTTTGAGGTTTCTTTGAGCCGAGCTTCTTCATAGCGTTGTAGTATTTCTTCTGCTCTTCTGTCATGAAAATATCCTGACCCCCAAAGTAAAGACAGAAAACAGAAAGATCATTTTGGGATGAAAATCTAGGCGGCCTCGAAATTAAATTATTTTTTCGTAGTTGTAAATAAAACAAAGTTTTACAAGAAAAGTTTTCAGTCTTTCTAATTCAAGATTTCATGTATAATTCAATGTGTTAGTTACTATTTCTTTGTAATTATTTGTAACATTTACTAGATCAGTGCAGGAAACTAGAAATAGAAAAAACATCCTAAGCCATTCTAAATCAGAAACCAAGATGGCTTTGATGTCAAGCTTATAGTATATAGATACTTATCTTTTTCTTCTGCTGATTGAAGTTGTCAATGATGACGCCAATGAAGAGATTTAATGTGAAAAAAGCTCCAAGGATGATGAAGATGACAAAATAGATGTACATATACAGATTCACCTCATACTCTGGCTGCTCTTCTACCTGCAGAAATGGAGATGAAGGACAACTTGCACCAGTACGGTTCCATTATAAAAATGATGTATCATATTTTTGAATTAAAGCAATTAAAAAATGACAATCAAAAAAGACTTACTTTGCGAGAGTCTATCGCTGCATACATAATGGGCATCCACCCTTTAAAGGTGGCCTTGACAATATGAAGAAAAATTAACATTATACTTTTAGAATTTTAGGACCGTTAATATCATTGCACTGTGAAATTATTTCCATCAAGTCAAGTCACTTTTATTTTTTATAATGCTTTATACAATACAGATTGTGTCAAAGCAGCTTTACACTGTTAAACAGGAAAATAGTGTGTCGATAATGCAAGAGGACAATAGTAAACACTTTTGGTGTAATTAAATAAAAATAAAATAAACATTATAATTATGTATTTATATTGTAAACTCATTTAAACATCATGGTAGAATTTGATGTACTGTCTTTAATTTTAAAATCATATTGTCAATAATAATATAAATCATATATTATTGTTGTTAATAATAATCCAAACATATCTAATTTCCCAATTATATTGAATATCTCTTCTTATGATGGAACATTATCCATATTCTATGTTCTACTAGATTTAACCAGGTGTTTAGGGCAACCTTACCACTTGTAGCAGGGCCAGGTATCCACTTCCTACATTGTCAAAGTTGATTTTCACTTTTCTCCAGCGGAGTTCTTCGGGCCACAGATCACATTCTGTTTTGTTATTGATATCTGTGATAGACATGCGTTTGTCTGAGGTAATGTTTACACATTCAGAAAACTTTCCGGCGAAGAAGTTGACGCCCACAATGCTAAAAATGAGCCAGAAGATGAGGCAGACCAGCAGGACGTTCATGATAGAGGGGATGGCACCCAGAAGAGCATTCACAACCACCTGCATCCACAGAAACATCACAAACGTACAAAGTGTCATGAATATAGTGCAATCGTCATGGAAATGTCTCAGGTTACGTATGTAACCCTAGTTCCTCGAAGGGAACGAGACGCTGCGTCGAAAACGCTAGGGGAATGCCTTCTGCGACCCACGCTCTGAATAACATGTGAAATCAGTCCAATAGCTGAACGGGATGTCATGGCGGATGACGTCATGACCAGGAAGCTATAAAAGCACATGCGGCGGAGCCAGCGTCAGCTTCTAGGAATGAAGCAAGCACTGGCAGGGACGCTGGAAGTATGGCACCAAGACGCAGCATCTCATTCCCTCGAGGAACTAGGGTTACATACGTAACCTGAGACGTTTCTCTTCAGGAACTCGAGCTGCGTCGAAAACGCTAAGGGAACGAGAATGCCCACGCCGCCAGACTTCCAAGTCTCTGCCTAGTGTGGAAGAATGCACAACTAGGGCAAGAGAATGGAAGAGCCGGGAGTGGCTTGCATGTCTAGCTCATAAAACCTAACAAAGGTAAGGGGCGTGGACCAACCCGCAGCGTTGCAGATGTCCTGCATAGGCACACCCGCTAAGAAAGCCTTAGAGGCTGCCACACTTCGAGTCGAGTGAGCCTTGACCCCTAACGGCGAGGGGAGATCAGAGGACTCATAACATAAGGAGATGGCATCCACTATCCACCGACTGATGGTCTGCTTAGTTGCTGGAAGACCTCTCTTAGGAGGACCGTAGCACACAAGCAACTGGTCCGCCCTCCTCCACAGGGCAGCTCTGTGGACGTATGCATCCAGTGCTCGCACTGGACACATACAGTTAAGCTTCTGCTGGTCTGGTTCTCCGCGGGTAAGGAGGACTGAAGGCCTGAAGTACAATGGGCTGTGGTGCTGATGAGGGGACTTTTGGGACATACCCCACACGAGGGTACATAAATGCTTTGGCCAGACCGGGCACAAAGTCAAGATAGCAAGGGGCCACCGAGAGGGCCTGTAAATCCCTAACTCTCTGAAGAGAAGATATTGCCAGAAGAAAGGTAGCCTTTATTTTAAGATGGCGATCAGAAATCTCTTCGATAGGTTCTTACAGAGAGCTTCTAGCACCACTGCTAGGTCCCATGTAGGGACATGAGATCGTACCGGAGGCCTCAGCCTCAGCGCACCGCAGAGGAAATGTGTAACCAGGGGCTGTCTCCCCACTGAAATACCACCAAGAGGGCGTGGTAGGCCGCAATGGTCGCCACGTAGACCTTCAGGGTGGAGACCCATTGAATCGAGGCAGATGAAAACCGAACTGGATTCTGTAGCCTCTTTCTACAGTACACAGGACCCATTGAGACACATTTGGCAGTAGCTTCCACACTGCTAAATAATCTACTAAGGGAATCAGTCTCTCGAGACTGATCTCTGGTGTGCCCAGAACGGCTAGTTCAGCTGCTCTGGGGGCCTCCGCAGAGGCCGTGAGCCTCTCAGTGCCGCTACGTTGCCGGGCGGTAACTGACAGATATGCTCGCTGGAGACCGCTGCACCCTGGAACACAAGCAGGGTCGGCAGAACGATCTCCCAAGGGCACTGGGGGGAGATGTTGCCGCCCAGCAGCCCCCGGAGCTGAAATACGGCGAGGAAGGAACCGCTGAAACGCCGCCACTTGTTTTCGAGCCTCCTGGTCCCTGTCGACGACTGAATTGGCAGCGTCGCCGAACAGGCCAGAAGGCACAAGCAGGGCGATTCCATAATAATCTGAGGCAGGGATGAATAGGCAGGAGGCACGGAGAGAGAGATCAGTGGTTCTCCTTAACTCTGCGATATTATCAGAGCTAAGCTCCTCGCCCTCATCCAGCTCTTTCAGCAGGTTGGCCTGGTACGCCTGTAACACAGACATTGTGTGCCGACACGCACCGGCCTGACCCGCTGCCGCGTACCCCTTTCCCTCCAGCGCTAATGTCGTACACAGCGGCTTGGAGGGCAGTGCTGGAGCCTTTAATGCCCGGGGACAGATAGCTAGCTAGGGTCTGTTCAACCCGGGGCATCGCCTTATAGCCACGCTCAGATAACCCTGCCACATTTCCATAATAATCTGAGGCAGGGATGAATAGGCGGGCTGAAAACGGCTTGGCCCACGACGTCGACACCTCGGTGTGGAGGTCGGGGAAAAATGGCAGGCTCCGGCATGGAGGTGGCGGCCTCGCAAGCAGGAAGCGTTCATCAAGCTTGCTTCGCTGCGGCTCGGCCTGCTTCTCGGCGGGCCAATCGATTTTTAGCTTGGCCACGGCCCGAGTAAGCACCTCAACTAGCTCCTCATATTGGGGCGATTGAGGGGGCGAAACCTCTTCGACGTCCTCCACGTCAACCTCCTCGGAGGAAGACAGGAGAAGCGTCGAGCCGTCACCCCGGGAGGAAGTAGCCGCAGAACGGGCTTCCCGAACCCAGAGATCGGGCACTGGATCTGGTGGTGAGGAAGGAGATAGGGACTCGCCCATCTCCATTCCCTCTGCCAGATCCAACTGTGAACCCCACGAATGCAGCCACCACTCCAACTCAACGGAAGCAGGGCCAGCACCACGAGGAACGCTGGTGAAGGCTCCCTCCTCAAAGAGAGCCCTCCGGGAGCGAAGCGTATACAGTGGGAGGCGCTCGCAATGCGGGCAGCTGGCCCTCTCAAGAGCAGACTCTGCGTGCTTCGCTCCCAAGATATATATATATATATATATATATATATATATATACTGTATATATATATGAGCAATATCACTTGAGTACGAGAGTGATACTGGCTCTATATCAGCATGGCTGTGATTAGACCGGAGCCAATCACAGCCGCTGATATAGAGCCGGTATCGCTCGAGTACAAGAGTGATATTGCGTTTATACAACAGTTCAACGGAACGTGTGTAATTAAACAAGAAAAAACTGAGTGCCTAATAAAACCCTCTTTTGTGCAGAACTACTTCCTTCTGCCACAGATTCAAAGTTCAAGTTGACAATTAAACATACGTCACTTTTAGAATTCGTATCAAGGGCATGTGCTGCTTCAGTTAGGTTTTTAGTGAGAAATAATGAGGTTATAAGAGAGAAACAATGCGGCAAGACGTGCATCCAAATGAGAGAGAGAGAGACCGCGAAGCTAGACGTTTCTTCTTATATTAATTAAATCTAATATATGGAGAGTGATACAAATGGTGGAACGTTATCACTAGAGTCCCGTTATGACTAGAATATCGCACTCCTGAAAAAGGCTTTCAGCCAATCAGGTTCGAGGACCAGAAATAACTGTTGTATAAATAAACAAATAAATTATATATATAATTAACCAATAGTCCTACGTTGCGCATGCGCCGGTGAGTCTCGTGAAAACCAGCGTTTGTTAACAGGAGCAAAGGAAGCAAAGTTTCCTTACTTTAGCAAAGGAAAACCAGTCTCCTCTTGGCTTATATTGAAATCCTCTGACATTCTTCTTTACAAATCCTTGTTTTGTACTTCTAATTAGTGACCGTTGTTTTGTTTTGATTTCTCAACTGCGTTTCCGCATGCGTCCCTTCTGAGCGGCGCATGCGCAAAGCTGAACTCATACGTCATCCGCCCGGAGCTGCTTCCGTGTACAAATGTTGGCGCAAGCTACATTAAAGTGGTTATTCAATTTTAAATATGGATATTTTTCTTACAAAAACGCATCAATTCGCTACAGGAGGCCTTTGTTCACCCCACGGAGCCGTGTGAGACACTTTCTTTTATGGATGGGCACTTTTTATTTAACTTCTTTTGGACTGATGCATGCAACACCCGCTGAGTGCCATGAAACAGCTTGAAAGATCAAATAAATTTTTTTATATAACTCCGACTGGATTCGTCTGAAACAAGAAAGTCATATACACCTAGGATGACTTGAGGGTGAGTAATTTATGGCCTCATTTTCATTTTTGGCTGAACTAACCCTTTAATGCATGTTTATGGCCTTATTGTGAATGATTATGTGCACATTACACTAAAGCTGCGCTTCCCAAACGTTTCTGTCAGCTTAACCACTTTGAGCAACACATTCACATGTTTATGGTTTTCTGATGTCAGTGACATGCAGGGTAAACATAAAATATTTAATCTTTTTACCATTTCATTTTCATTGTTTTTAAAGGGATAGTTCACCTTAAACTGAAATTCTGTCATTTACTCAGCCTCAAGTTGCTGTATGAGCACAAAAGAAGATATTTTGAAGCATGTTGGTATCCAAACAGTTAGCCATATATTATAATTTTAGATATAAATATTTAAATATATATATTAAATAAATAAATATAAATATTATTACATCTTTTTTATTTCCATACCATGGAAGTCAATGGCTACCGGCAACTGTTTGGTTACCAACATTCTTCAAAATATCTTCTTTTACATTTCACAGAAGAAAGAAATTCATACAGGTTTTGAACAACTTAAGGGTGAGTAAATGATGACAGAATTTTATTTAAACTTTATTTATTTAAATTGTATAATTTTCTTATTTAATTAATTATTAGCTATTTATGAACTCACAAAAGTTGGGCAACCCTGTTCTAAATAATGAAAATGTTTGAAATCTTTCATCAAAACGTAATAACTTGCTCCCTCTCAAAAATTTTTTATTTTCAGATTACATAAAATCCTCTTAACTTTCAACCCCAAAGATTCAACCATGTGACTTTTGGTAATCAATTTCTGATAGATAAAACCAAGCCCCACAATATATTTTTCCCCCTCATTGCAAGCACTATATGTCAGTTTCATGTTGACTTCATTCACATGTCCAGCCAACACAAAACTACTGAAAGGGGCTTTTCATACTGCAATAAACCTTGGGTTAACATCTTAAGGCTTTGCAAAGCGCATTTTGTGTGCAAGGAGAACTTGCAACCTAAACTAGACAGCACAACAGACAACCATTAATGAGGCAATCAGTGCTCAGCTCATTAAATATGTATGCACTTTTCATAAAGTTGTGTGTCTTCATTCTATTTTTTGTCTTTTACTTTTCAGAAGACTTAAGCATGGCGGCATCTTTCCAAAGATAAATATTTCATAAATATAAAAATTAGGGCTGGGTTGAAAACATCGATCTCTTGATTTTAATTGATTCTTATTTTGAAGCTAGTGAATCAAAATCAAATCGAACTGTTAAATTTGTCTCAATACCAAAAAATACAAAAAAGCACAAAGTTAACCCAGAGTTTACCAATGGTACAGTGTGAAATCTCAAAACCTGACCAACCAGGGTTAAATGGTAACTAAGATAACCCCGGATTAACCCACAATGACACTGGACTGACTATTTTAAATGTGAAAAGCCCAAAAGAATACCAAAGGCAACTAAATGGTAAATTTTCAATGAATTCAGGTCAGTCAGCCTTTCTTTGACTGAATAAAGTCCTCTATATATGTAAGTTCTCTATAAATATATAATTTACATAAATATAATTTTATCATATCAGTAAATGTAATTTTAAAAATAATTATTCATATATGTAAATGAATAAATAGTTGACATTAAGAGATTTTACCCTCATTCCCTCAAAGCGTGAGAGAGCTCGGAGCGGTCGGAAGGCTCTCAGCGTTCGGAGACTTTTGATGGCGCCCAGATCTTGATAGTCCAGGGCGTTGGCTACCAGGCTGATCAGAGAGACCTACACACATAAACAGAGCTAATTAGGGGGGGATGAAAACCCAGACACGAATCCCTTCCTTCCTGCTCCAATCTCGACTTCTCTGTGGGTTCTCATGGGAAAATGGCCTTTCAGATGTACGAATGTCTAGTTTACTCACTCAACTGTTATCAAACAGTATAAACTCGCACTGTCTCAAGTGCCCACATGCATAACACACACAAAAGCGATCATTTCCAGTCAATCATTCTCAGTTCACTGATGCTCTCTTGATAATGGTGCTTTTATGAGTTGATGTGCACATGCTGTCTGTGTTGTTTTAGCACCCAGTTCACTAAATGATTCAGGCAAATCACGTTGCAAACTTGCACACAAAATATGAGCTAAATGCAACCTGCATGGCAGGTTAGAGCAATATTTGCACCAGCCAGTACTGAGTTCTGCATTATTTTACTGCCAAGAATTATAAGTGAAGGAATTATTTATGTATTCATTATATTTGCATATTATTGACTAAATAAATATGTAAATATGTATTTAAAAAAAAAACTTTAGCTAGTTGTCAAGGCAAAAATAAACTAAAAATGTACTAAAATAACTAAAACGAAAATAAATAATCAAAATATTGTATATAATAATAAAACTTTAATGAAAATAAAACGAAAACTTAAAAAGTTATTCAAAATAAATAAAACTATAATAGTATCTCAACAGCCATAATTACTATTATGATGAATAGCATCCTGTAAAACTTTATAAAACTTTAATGAAAATTAAACGAAAACATAAAAAGTTATTAAAAATAAATAAAACTATAATAGTATCTCAACAGCCATAATTACTATTATGACGAATAGCATCCTGTCAAGTCATACAGATTTGAAATGACATGAGTGTAAATTAATGATGGCAGAATTTTCATTTTTTGGTTACACAGTTGTGATCGTAAGTTTACATACACCTTGCAGAATCCGCAAAATGTTAATAATTAAAATATATATATATATTTAAAAATAAGAGGGAATGAATATTTTTAAGCACCTTGACTCTTAATGCATCATGTTTCTTTCTTGAGCACCAGTGAATGTTTGCACCTTTTGTAAGAGTCCCACAAATGTTCTTAATGTAAAATATCTTATAGATACTGCTGGAAAGGGTTCAAATATGCAGAAGATCCTGGAAAGCCAAAAGACATGCAATTTTTCTGAAGAACAGTGGTCAAGAGTAACTGCTCGGAACAAACAAGTGACGACTATTGCAAATCTTACAAACAGTCGTGGATTGTTTAAATAGAAATCAAGCAAATGTGAACTCTATTTTGTCTTGTGGACTATATGTAAACATCTGTATGCTAAATACTTTATTCAGGGCAGCATGAAAAAAAAAAGGTTTTATGATCCCTCTTACTTTTTGTAAAAATTACTAACATTTTGCAGATTCTGCAGGGTGTATGTGCAGCATATAGTTTGACATTATATTTAATCAAAAGCTGAACCTACATCAACAATAATAAAATCCAGCCAGCACCAGAGATTGGTGAAGTATTTGGCAAAACCATATGCGACCCATTTCAGCAGCATCTCAAGAATGAAGATGTAGGTGAAAACTTTGTCAGCAAATTCCAGTACGGTCTTTACGGTTTTCCTTGTGTTAAGGTAAATGTCCTCAAATGCCTGAAAAACATTTGAGATGTAAAGATATAAAGGATTAGAATTAAACCAGTATGGACTGTAACAAGTTGAGTGAAAAAAAATCCATCCAAGAAAAATATTGATTATAAATGGCCATAAAATTTAAAACAGGTAATAAAAACCAACAATATTTGTATGTGCCAAGTATTATTCTGAGTATTGTATCATCAGCTTATCAACATGTTGACTTCAAACTCTATTGAAAGTGAGTTAAGGGTTTACCCTGTTGAGTGACATATACACAAACAAAAACACACATGCATTTCCCTCACCAGAGCGCCACTGCTAAGCAGAATCATGAAGATGATGAAGCTCTCAAACCAGCTGTGCTCCACTATGTTATAGCATGTCTGTCTCAGCAGCCACCATTTCTTCCACATGCCCTTTTCAACATCCACCTGGCAGCACGGGAACCTTTGGACACACCCTGAAAAACAAAATTCAAACAGTTTTTATTCAAAATCCCTATTATTGGAAATTTCACTTACAAACTGAACTGATACTGATACAGAACTGAAACTGATAACTGAACATATTTTCACACCATTAAAGGAATAGTTCACCCAAAAATGTGCTGAAAAGGCCATCCAAGAAGATGAGTTTGTTTCTTTATCTGAACAGATTTGGAGAAATGTAGCATTGCATCACTTGCCCACCAATGGTTGCTCTGCAGTGAATGGGTGCCGTCAGAATGAGAGTCCAAACAGCTGATAAAAACATCACAATAATCCACAAGTAATCCACACCACTCCAGTCCATCAATTAATGTCTTGAGAAGCAAAAAAATATGTTTGTAAGAAACAAATCCATTATTAAGGCATTTCAAACTATTGCTTACTGCTAAAGAGTCCTTTATCCATAATATTGCGTTGTCTGGTCAGCACAGATCAAGAATGGTTTACAAGTGAAAACGGTACAAAACAGTTCTGAACAAATAAGTTGGTGGATTTTGATGTGAAAGGACAACAGGGAATTGACTTTTTCATTGAAGGAAGCATTATTATGGATTATGGACTCATATTTTAGCCAGAAGCAATGCTGTAAAATTAAAACAGTCTAATGATGGATTTGTTTTTTATTTTGTTTAGTTTTTTTACAAGCATGCAGCTTTTGGCTTCTTAAGATGTTAACTGATGGACTGGAGTGGTGTGGATTATTGTGATGTTTTTATCAGCTGTTTGGACTCTCATTCTGACGGCACCCATTCACTGCAGAGGATCCATTGGTGAGCAAGTGATGCAATGCTACATTTCTCCAAATCTGTTCTGATCTACATCTTAGATGGCCTGAGGATGAGTGAAATTTCAGCAAATTTTCTATTTATTTTACTTTTCATGCTCATGTCAAACTGTACTGAAAGTCTTCACTTTGCTGAGTGAAACATTGACAAAACAACACATGTATTTCCCTTCAGACTTTTTAAGCGCGACTTAAGTGACAAATGCTTTTTTGGGCCCATGGCCCAATGGTATTTCCCACTGATAATACTGCACTTTTTTGCAAGAGTTGAAAGCCAAAGAATACATTTTATGTTCTTATTATAGTGAACAAACTATTAGCAGCATCACCTGGTGTGAAACAAGCATCTGGAGCCATAGATTCCTCAAGTTCAAAGTCCAAAGCATCTTCTCCATCTTTTCCGAAGTGTCTGAGGTCCACCGTGCTGCCCTCCGAAGAGCTGGGAGCCACGTCAGACAGCTTCTGCAAGAGCAGCACAGACACATCATCACGTGTTACCATGGCAACGCATCCACGTCGCCGATGAGATTAAACATGTGCACATGGTTTCTGAAGTCAGTCGTTTCAGCTGAGTCACTGTGCAAAGGCTGAGATGTAAGGCTTGCTTGGTGTGATGTCTCGGATGTTTAAAACCCTTCATCTAGTATATAATATACAGTGGTTCATAGGTATTTCCAAACAACTTACAACATTAACTACATCAATAAGCTCTGAGATGAATCATAGTATAAAATAATATACATTTAAAGATTATTGTGAAATTTACTGTACAAACATTGAAAGTTAAAGTTGAAATCACAATGACTTCTACAGAAGTATATACAACCATTTCATAGCAGCTCATAGTAAGCATGTCCTAAATGATTCATATGTTTATACAGTCAATTTTGTCTCTCATTAATATTTAATCAGTCACTCGCTAAGGATTTTAACAATAAAGAGCCAATATATATATATATATATATATATATATATATACTGTATATATATGTATATATGGGCAAGACGTTCTTCGTCTGATTGAATGACCTTCTAGTGGATCAGTATTGTTATTGTTGACTAAATTTTAAATATTAATATTAATATTAAAGATCATTTTTGGTAATTATATTTTAGCTTTATTTTAGTAAAATATAAACACATTTTGAACTTGAAAAACTTTAAAACCAAAAAAATTACAATTAGAAATGTAATGTTTAATTAAAAATGTAACTTTATAGAAATATATTAAAAAAACTAAAAAAGTAATAAAAATGATAAAATCACATAAAATTACTAAAACAAATGAAATTTAAACTGAAAATGAAAAAATAAGACTGAAGTCGTAAAATTAATAATATAAGTAAAACCAAAAAATTTGACTAAAATAACACTGACGGGATATAGTATTGACTGCAACTATACCAACAAGACTTCAGAGGCAGTAGGAACCACTGATCTATAGTTATATAATATATATCTATAATATATTATAATATGTAACAATATAATATATAATATTATATTATTTATATGGATCAGTGGTAGGAAGTGATTGCACATCAGGTGAATAGCATGTATAGTAGCACATGCGTTTTAGTGCACTTTTTCAGCAAGTTTTCATTTCTGGGTGAACCATTCCTTTAATATGCTGCATTACAGTAGGCAATGGCATGCACATACGGGGGGTGGGGGGGCACCCCTTTAATCGCCGACACTAAAGTGCCCTTTCGGTCCACGATTTCTGACAGTAGGTACATGGTGAAGTTTGCTAAGCAAAAAAAATCTGTTAGATTTTCAGATAATGCAGCTTGTGGAATGATGCAAGCATGCTATGATGAAATTAATACACAACCAAGACGTCTGGATGACTCAAGTCCTTGTTTGGCCCCAGACCTTTTCTGTCTAATGACATTTGAACAATCAGTGCAATAATGTAATTGGTTTGGACATCTAGTATCTTTTAGTAAAATGCATGGAATTCCCAGATAATGGTGATTTGTTTGGCTAATTAGTGTTATGCATTTGGCAAACGTTTTTCTCCAAAGCAATTTACACTGCATTGAAAGTATGCAATTGATCAGCTCATGCATTCTGTGGGAATTGAACCCATGACATTGGCATTGCTCGCACAATGCTACTGTTTACTGTATTTGTAAAGTTGCTTTCAGACAAAATCTTCAATCAATCCACTGTTGTCAAGCACTCTGGGATTCTTTATTATGCTTGTCCAATTAACTTTATGCCGAACGAGAACCATTTCTCGATGGTTGTATGTATTTGCAGAGAGGCCTGAAATCTACTGTAACCGTAATGACTGAAATGGGACACTAACACCATTATCTATGACTGAAGATGAATAACAATGATATTAGTGGTATGGCAGGATTTGAAATGCACAAAAAATCCATTAGGTAAAAATATTTTCTTTTTCATTAATGACAATAGCTGTCTTTATGGTTAGTTGGGATGCATATTATAAAGGTCTTACAGGTCTCCACTGATTGTAAACCTTGAAAGCGTCTCAGAAGTGCTGCAAAGACAGATCACGTTAAAGGAGTGAGACAGACAACAAGGAAAAAACACTCACTGTCTTGTCTGGAGGTAAAAAGATTGGTCAGAGTGCTAGAACGACAGATAAATCAATGGGAGCAATAATACAGAATCATCTGTTGAAGTCTAGGAGGCAATCAATCAGAGATCATGGCTCTGGTCCAAAACGTAGTGAGCTGCCTTGCTGTCTGCTGCCTACATTATCATGCTAACTGAAATCTGAAATGCAACCACATAAGCTACTGATCTAGAACACTCTCAGAAAAAATTTGTGTTCCACATGCAAAGTTTACAGAAGAACCGATTAGGCTAACTGTAACATAGCACACAAACATTGGATTAAATAGTGTTTTTTTATTGAGATATTTTTAGAACTTTTTAAGTATTTTTATTATTTGGTTTATTATATTTACAATCAATATTTCACCAGGTTTATCTACCAGCTCACTGAGCCTGTTGCATTATGGGAATGCCTTCTTCATAAAGGATACATTTAATGCTGTCTTTTGAATGGATTATACTCTATGCAAGTATGTGAATGTAAACATTTTGTGAGTTATTATAAGGAGGCAGAATCGGTCATTTGGATTTGGATTTATTTATTCCAATTAATTAGTTCACCCAAATTAGCTCACCCTCATGCCATCCAAGATGTAGATGGGTTTGTTTCTTAATTTGAACAGATTTTGGAGAAATGTAGTATTACATCACTTCCTCACCAATGCTTTTTGTGCTGTTTTAGACTGCTTTTGCTTGTAAACAGTGCTTAGTCTGTGCATATTTCTCTCCTGATTTAGGCAAGTCAACGTTTCCACTGGAGAAAGCAATATTATGGCTAGATGACTCATATTGTAGCCGGAAGCAATAGTTTGAAATGCTTTTATGATGAATTTGCTTCCTACAAACATGCAGTTTTTCACTTCACCATATTTTAACTGATGGACTAGAGTGGTGTGGATTACTGTGATGTTTTTATCAGCTGTTTGGACTCTCATTCTGACGGCACCCATTCACTGCAGAGGATCCATTGGTGAGCAAGTGATGCAATGCTACATTTCTCCAAATCTGTTCTGATAAAGAAACAACCTCATCTACATATTGGATGACCTGATGGTGAGTAAATATCCAGAAAAAGTTGATTTTTGGGTGAACTATTATTTCATTGTTCTGAATTATTGTAGATACATGATAAATTAAAATGGTAATTCAGCTTCCGGTGTTAGGCAGTGTTATGCAATCATTTGTCCTGACAATCCTTAAAATGCTGCCTACATAGTCAGCTCACTGGATTTTTGCAACAGAGTTTCAACTGAAAACATATCACCCTTCACAAAACTGAAGCAGTAGACATTTTAGGACAACTTCAAAGAGATTGCCATAAAAAACAATCAGTATATAGTCGGTAATATGCCAAAACCACAGACCGCCACATCCTCGTTTCTCAGCAGAAAGCAAATGAGCATGTTATCATGAGGCTAACATTCACACTCAGCACTTAAATGGCAGATAATGCGATCTGAAGACTGATATTCCCTGACCTCTTTTCCATTATGGATCAAGCTGCATGTTGATGTAATCCACAATGCACTTAACTCCAATTAAACCTACTGAAAAAAAAAAAACTTGACCATGATTACACCAATGACTAATTCAGTG